TCCAGCCCCTCGGGCCTAGGCATGTGCACGCTTCGCCCCACCTCTCCCGCGAGAGGCGGCCGGCGGCGCCTTCCACCCCTCCTGGCCTCGCTCGGGAGAAGCTACCGCAGAGCTGACCTGAAACCAGCCGGCTCCCGCTCCGCAGCCGGGCAGCGGGAGCAGGAAGAGGCGGCGTTTCCCGCTCTCGTGCTGAGGCCTGGTGCAGCCTGATCGCCGGGGAGACCAGCCCCCGCCCCAAGGGAGGAGAGAGCGTGGGGAAAAGGGGGGGGCGCAGAGAAGAAGCAGGAGGAGGAAAGTCCTTCGACAGCCCATGGCGGGACAATATTCTGTGCCTCATGGCTGCTTCGCGCCCGGCCCGGGGCCTGAGCTGCCCAGCCCCACCCCAATAGCAACGACCATTAGTCACCAACAGGCAGACCTACCGAACATGGCCTCCGCGCGCGCCCCGCTAGCTGCTTTCTCGCCCGTGCTCGGGGCTGCCCCCTTTTTACAGTGGGGCCTGGAGAAAGAAGATTCTGGAGTCCCAAAGTCCACGATCCACATGACTGGTGCCCTGCCAATAACTGACGAGCCGGCCCGTTTGATCACAGACGGCCTGCGGCCAAATGAGGAGTCTCTTCATTTGCATGACATGTTTTTCACATTCCCTCCCCCCCACATTCATAATTCTCCACCGAAGCCTTTCAGTGACTAGCTGCTTCCCGGGAAAGGGATGGTCCGTGGACAATTGGTGCTGAGTGTGATATCCCAAAAAATCAACCTGCCGTTGGTTAGCTGTCACTGGACACGTAAGTCACACAGGATTACTGCTGTTCCTTGTTTGGATGAGGGTAACTCCATGGACCAGGTTGCTGACATGAATCCCAGTAAAAGAGTCGTTTTTACACAATGCATGATTCATCTGTGGAACTCACTGCCACAGGATATCCACGGAGGCCAAGAGCTTAATAGGATTCCAAAGGAGATTAGACATTTATATGCATAGTGAAACCATCTTCAGGGAGAGGTACAGGGACATGATTTAACCTCTCATGCTTTAGGGTGTTGTTAATGTCTAACTGATGGGGGCTACGGAGAAATATCCCTCATCGTTCCATCGTTGCTCCCTAGGTTTTTCTTGCACCTTCCTCTGAAGGAGCTGACGCTGACCACGGAAGAGATTCTGCTGATCTGTTCAGGGAGCTCACCATTTATTTCCCGGCAGCAATTTCGAATATACCTTGAAAAGTTTCTCTTTACATTAACGTTTCAGCCTGCCAGCTGGCTGCCGTTGCAGCCTCGCGGCACAGAGGAATGGCGAGGAGCCTTCTCCCAGAGAACGATTGTGGCTGATTCGTTTTCGGAGTGTGCCCAGCTTCGGTGAGGGTGCCTCGAAGCAGGCAGCCGACATCCTGCGCGGAGACCTCCGGCGGTGCTGGGAACGCAGCGACAACGCTTGTGTCCCTTCTTTGACAGCCTCGGAGAACAGATTGGAAAGGAATTACTACCCCGAGTGGGAAATCTGACCTCTCCCAGAGAACGATTGTGGCTGATTCGTTTTCGGAGTGTGCCCAGCTTCGGTGAGGGTGCCTCGAAGCAGGC